CGTTAGGGAAAGGCTAATTGGAAATTGATTACGTGGACCTAAGAACTTGACCATGGTTCGACCGAGGTCGCCCTGGCTTGAGTAAAACTTAGATGTGGCTCGATTTCAAATTGGCCACGAGTCGATACGCGTAACTCCTAAAAGCCACCCGTTAATTTTGAGATTCACTGAAGTCGCGTTTGATCGAATTTGGCCATTATTTAGAGCCCAAACTTGGGTGTCGAATTTCTCGGAGTTTCGTGATGAAATCAATTGGACGATGTCAAAATAAGTGTGGCCAACCTTGAGATTGCCCGGATTTGTCGGAAAGTGAAATTTGGACCGGGTGCGGATTTAGGCCAGTATACCTTCCTCTTTATTTAAATCCTTTTTATGCATTTTATCCTTTTATTTAAATTTAGAATTGAGATTAATGAGAGCCTTTGGATCTTGGCTTGACCCACAAGATGGAATTGTGGCCCTTAGATCACACTTGAGAGGGTTAGGACCTAGTTTGTACCCCTTCTCTCTCTCTCTCTCTCTCTCTCTCTCTCTCTCTCTCTCTCTCTCTCTCTCTCTCTCTCTCTCTGCCTTCACTCTCTCTCTTTCTCCCTCCCTCACGTGGCCGACTCCTCCTCCTCTCTTCTTCTTCTTCTTCTTCTTCTATTTTCTTTTCCTTCTTGCTGGTTCGCTGCTTCTTGTTCTGCTTCTTGGCTTCTTCTGGCTACACGCCTGACCCGCAGCCACCGTCCAGGTCACCGGAAACCGCCGCTCACCGCCGGAGACCAACGCTGCCCACCGCACCACCATTTCTTTCATTTCTTGCTCGGTTTTCTTGGGTTTTTCCAAGTAAGTGGCTTCCTAACCCTTGACTAGGCTAAGGGGTGACTAATGGACATGTTAGGGATGGTTTAAGGGCTGTGGATAGTTGGTTTAGTGGCTGGTTGTGCTTGGTTTGTTTGGTGGTGCTTGTTGGTTGATTTCCGGTAAGGTTGCTGCTGCGTTGCTGGATTTTTCTATTTTTTCTGTGACTTGTGTGGGCCGAATTTGAGGAAGTGTTTTTTTATAAAAGTTGTTCATAACATCTTGAAGTATGACATATATTAAATCTGGAATTTTTCGAGATTATTTAGGGTCATTCGTAAGTCCATTTTTGGAACGAATTCAGTCTGCCGGATTTACTATTCACCCGACCTTCTGTCTTTCCGATTTTCTATAAATTTTTCCAGACCTCTTTTCAACAAACTTTCTTCACAAAAATTGTTGAGAACATCCGTTTCTATGACATATAAAAATTTCAGAGCTTCCCAAAGTGATTTGGGTACTGAATGAGTTGTATTTTTGATGGTCTGAGGGGCTGTTCGAGCAAACCGGGTTCTGTCCGGCTTTGAGTGTCAAAACGAGGCATTTACAGTAAAAAATGGGGTGTTCGATCCCAGACGATGCCGATCGCGGTGGAGGCCGGATCGATGCTCCTAAGTGGAATGCCGTTGGGTACCCGACTTGCCGGGGGGTGTTCGATCCCCAACGTTGCCGTCGCTGACGTTGCGGGATGATGCCTGGTTACGTCAGAAGACCGGCGGGAGTTCGGTGGCCCGAGGGGTCGTTAATAACCTGGATACATGTGAATGTATGCTATGCATTGGTGGATGCTCAAAATATGGAATATTGAGTATGTTTCTTATGATTATGCCATGATTTGAAGTGTGCTTTTTTGATGAGCAATTGGCCATGTTATGGCGATATTCTAACGTGCAGGGCTCATGTATGTGCCGAGGCGAGGTAAGGACGCCTATGATTGTTTATGGCACGTCAATTGTTCGAATTGCATGTTTAGAATTGTTCGGAGATACGATTTGGCCTAAGCGAGGCTTAGGTAGTTGCTTATTGAGATTTATTCTCATTGTTGTAATATAACCATTTCAGACCCGCGACCATGATTGATCTGGAGACGCTGCCAAGGTACTACGGGGATTGAGAATAGGTCGAGTTACCCCGTCTTTTGAGTGCCCATTTCTGTAGAGGAGTTAAGCTTACCAACCACCCGATCCTTTTTGTTATGCGTGGTTCGTCGATAGTGGCCCCTAGTAAGGCTTGTACCTTGTGCCGTTTGTAAGTAACATTATGTTATTAAAAAAGCGGTTCGTTGATGTGTATCATTCGTCTCTCTCTACTACCCTGTTTCATTGTATGTTGTATGGTGAGTTCGAATTTGCTTCCGCTCGCGTTCCTCGTTTGAGTTAAGTTGGGTCGGCGATAAGTTCTGGGATGTCGCATGCTTGACGACCCCGGAGAGATGTTGCGTGCTCATTCGGGTTCGGGGCATGACAGTAGATCAGTTGCCTGAAAATAAGTTTGCATGCGCTGCTTCCAATAGCTGTAGTTAGTTCCATCAAAGTATGGAGACTTGTTTGGTGCATGAAAATCAAGAGCAAAGAAGCTGTCAAGGTTAGCCATTTAAACATATCTTTATGCTCAAAAGTAAAGTACTTCAATACTAGGCTTGTTTGCTACACTATCTTTAAGTAGAAAAACTGTCGGCACTTTTCTGATTTCTTTCCCGGTTTTCAAGCAACATAGTCCAATCCTGTAACGGCTATTTTCTGTACTATCAACGATCATCTCCCAGTGGAGATCTTACCATCATCAGAGCTAGTACATCACCATCACGATCAACACACTATTACTGATGCAGATTATGAGTAATCTGGTTGACGATCTTAAGTGATGATACCGATTGAATGACACGTGACAATAAGATCAATGATCTTTCTATGTTCATCAGTACCAAGAACCTCCAAGAACACTAGCTTGACTGGTTCTTCCAAGTTAGCATGAGATATCACTCACTTGGATCTTGTTCTCCTAAATGTCATAATCTAGTTTCTCATCCTTGCTGATGTAAGAGGATCGTTGATGGTATTCTCAAACTTAACCATATGCACTCGTCATACAAAATGTTAGTACCAAAGATAGTTTTGAGACCATCAAAATCTGTAGGGATGTTTTCCCAACAACGTGTAGACTGAACTTTAGCCTAAAATTAAAGCATAGAAAAACATAATAGGAGAGACAAATAAGCGTTTGGAAAGATTTGAATTTGAGACTTTTTGTTCTAGCATGGTTTAGTATTTAAATACTTTAACATCCTTAGAACTTTAGATTTTAATGGATATAATAAAGGTAGATTATAGAATTTATGTATTTATACATCAATTGAGTACTTACATAATAGATATATTTTGGCAAAAGAACACTACAAGTGCCATAACTTGTGTACGGCGCTCACTTTAGTGCCATAACTTTTTTTTGGATCACTTTAGTGCTAAAATTTTTGAAAAACGATCACTTAAGTGCCAACTCCGATGCCGTACACAATTTTTCGCCGGAAATCTGACGTGGCATTTTTTTTATTAATTTCTGAAGCTGACGTGGCTCGCCGGAGTCTCGCCGGAGATTGGCACTTAAGTGATCGTTTTTCAAAAATTTTAGCACTTAAATGTTCGTTTTTCAAAAATTTTAGCTTAAGTGATCGTTTTTCCTCCGACTTGGCACCAAAGTGATCCGAAAAAAAGTTATGGCACCAAAGTGAGCGCCGTACACAAGTTATGGCACTTATAGTATCGTTTTACCGATATATTTTCAAGCGAGTAGATGTATCGTTCTGCTAGAATATATGAGGTGAACGAGAATAGAAACATGACTAATGAATAGGCTTTTTTCCCTTAAAATTATTACTTAATGATTGCATAAATCAAGGATTAAGAAATGGTTGTTACGATGCGAAAGAGATCACACACTGAAATTATCATTCTATTTTATTAAATCGCAAAATTAGAAAATTCAACCAAAAACTTAAGATAATTAGTGGAGAGAGATCACATATATATAATGAGTATATAAGCCCCATAGTCAAGCGATGTGTGATATTTGAACACCCCTTGTAAGTGCAAATCGAATGAGAATGACACGTGAGAGGTGGAAACACATGCAAAATAAATTGAGGCTGGCTTATAATATTAATAATAATCAATTGAGAATATACACAATCAAGGAAAATATATATTCACAATCCTGAAAAATGAAGGATCAAGGTAAAATCTTAATTATCTTTAACAACCTCTCAAACTCAAGGTAACGCAGAGGAAGATGGAGTTGGGAGAAAAGAACCAAAGAGGTTATTTCATTTGTTGAAGATAGAATCGATTGACATGTGTAGGTTACGTAACAATACGCTGACATTTATGCATGTGTGACGAAAATGCTAAGAATCGACATTGAGAAAGGGATATTAATAATTATAAAAAAAATAACACAACTTGAGATGTGAGGTGTGCTCCGCGAGTGCACTCGGTGTTTCGCACTCAACCAACTCAAAATTTGCTCAAGATCGTCTATCTCTGATACTAAGATAAGAAATATGTAGAAGAGAAAATATTTTAGGCTCCGTTCGTTTGGCGAAAAATATTCTCTTTTTGAAAAATATTTTCCCGTAAGTCATTTTCCTGGAAAATGTTTTCCCGAACATAATTTTCCGGTGTTCGGCGACCAATATGAAAAAGTTTCGGAAAATATTTTTCGCCGGCGACCGGCGGCGGGCGGCCAGTGAGCGGCGGGAGGCGGCGGGCGACCGGCGGGCGGCGGGCGACCGGCGGGCGGCGGCGGGCGGGCGGCCTACGACCGACGGCGGCGACCGACGGCGGCCAACGGCGGTGACCGGCGATCAACTTCCTCTCCCGCAGAAAACATTTTCCCTCCCATGGGCAATTTTGCCTTCAATTTGGGGGAAAATGATTTCCTCTTTGTGAAAAGAGGAAATCATTTTCCTCAAAACAATCAAGGATTTGGGGGTGGGGAAGGAAAATGTTTTCCCATGGAAAACATTTTCCGCCCCCGAACACCGGAAAACGCGGAAAATGTTTTCCAGAAAAATATTTTTCCGCAAACGAACACGGCCTTAATATCTGTATATTTCTATATATATAAAGAAGAGGATAAAAACTGGCTTTACATGATAACTATACAAGGTAACATGACATAAATATATTACAATTAATTAATAATATGTACAACAAGGAAGATATATGCCCAGTCCTAAAAAGATATGGAGAATAAAGAAATATCATAACTATCTCGAGCCGCATTTCCATTATATAAAAGAGAAATCAATTGAAGGCGAGTTGATGATACTTGGTCACCTAGGCGAAACATCCGAAACGCTTACACCATTAATAGTGAAGACTTCTTGACTGGGATTGATACAATAAAGTTTTTTCGCATCTCTCCCAACTGAGAATGCAGGCTGCGATGGTGGGTTGAGTGTGATAGTATCGCCTCCTAGAATATGAACCATGAGTGACATAGCCGGTCGATCTGCCGGGTCTTCTTGAACGCATAATAGACCGATGTGTATGCATTTTAGCACTTCAACTTCATCACATGACTCTTTGATTAACGGATCAATAAGTTCCAACCCTCGACCTTCGGACCACAACTTCCATGCCTGTTATTTAGCAAGGAAAATAAGCAAGGATAGCCGCATGAAATTTTTGAATTTCATATTAAAATGGGATGGTGACTAGGAACATACAAAAGTGAGAAGGCTTTCACAATGCTCTTGAAGATGAAAACCGTTGTTCTTTTGCCCGCTTATTATCTCTAGCAAGAGAACTCCAAAACTGAAGACATCTGATTTTACAGAAAAGAGTCCTACCATTGCATACTCCGGTGCCATGTATCCACTAACCATAGTTACGTGATGAAGAGCAATTAGTTGGAAGTAAGAAACAAAGAAAAGTAATTTTCTATATGAAATTTTTGAAATATGAATGTGCTCATTCTGGTGTTGTTGAGCTGATCATCAGAGTCCTTTGTTGGCCTAGTGAATCATTCGAACATGTAACGGACATAGAATGACATTAAAGCACTTACTAGGTTCCAACAACTCTGTTTGTGTTGGCCTTGTCTTGATTTACACCGAAGATCCTTGCCATTCCGAAATCCGATATCTTTGGATTCATCTCTCCATCTAGCAAAATATTGCTAGCTTTTAGATCCCTGTGGATAATTCTCAGGCGAGAATCCTCATGCAAATATAGAAGTCCTCGAGCTATTCCACAGGCGATGTTCACGCGCATCTTCCAATCTAGAGATTGCCCCTTATTTGAATCTGTCAATGATGAGAAACTCAGATGAAACTCAACTTTATGAAACTAAAATTAACTATGCCCCATATTCAAATCTATTGACAACGAGAGACTCAGTTGAAACTCAACTTCATAAAACTAAAATTAACTAGCTAAACAATTCATAGCATCAGCTAAAGCTCAAACCAAAAAGGAAGACATCCAGGCTTTTGTTGGGCATGTATTCATATATCAAGAGTTTTTCTTGTTCTTCCAAGCAGCATCCCAATAATCGGACGAGGTTCCTATGTTGTAGTTTGGCAATCAAGATGACTTCATTCTTCAACTCGATAAGTCCTTGGCCTGAGGTTCTTGAAAGCCTCTTAACTGCAATTTCTTTTCCATCTGCCAATGTGCCCTGAAACGGCATAAAGCGGTTGTCAAATCCCTATGTGAGAATTACTAATGATAAGCAAATTCGATTCAATTCATGTTATGGATAACGATTCTGCCAGTTTGCTACCATTAGAAGATTTTCCCAATTTCCCCATAAATTGGTGTTGAGTCACTAGAATGCTTACCTTGTACACTGGGCCAAACCCGCCTTCCCCAAGTTTACATTCATTAGAGAAGTTTCCTGTGGCTGCCCGTATGATGTCTAATCGTATCAAAGATAGTTCTTGAGAAGCCACCGGCTTTCCTCCTTGAGAGTTTTCCTTTGAAAATTCTTCTCCAATCTCTTGTCTCAGATGAAGTAACTGAACCTCTTGGCTGTTTTTCTTCTCTGAGATCCAAGAGCTACTCTCGTAAGGTGAAGGTTAGAAGATGGTCATTCCAATGGCAAGCAAGATGAATTTACTTATACCTTTCTTCAATCTCTTTCTCTTCTTCAAAAAAATGCACAAACCCACGATACTTATTAGTAAACACGATCCAATTACTGAGATAACAATTGCAATCCATGGAGCTCGTTTGACCCCTGTCAAGATAGAGAAATTCCTTGCATCTAAACATACCACAAAATCTGCAGATCTATTTTTCACCAATTGTAAATAGTACCAAGAACTCGGTGAAAGCAAGAGAGTATGATCATAGTTTAGATCCTAAAAGCAAGTCAAGTGCATTATGATACACAAAACAGCTTATATTGAGAATGAGAAGCAATGGAATGATACCATTATACGCTTACCATGACAAATTGAGTGCACATTTTGAATAATATATTACTCATACCTTTAGTGCCAAACTCAGTGCTGGTTTTGTTAGTTAAAGGTTCCCCAGAAAAACGATACAGTTCGTACCGCATATTACAACTTGGCTGAAAAATTCTCGCACCTCCCCTTTTATAATTAAGAACGGTAGGAAACTGTTTGATAGCAGAAAGCAAGCAACTCCTACAAGCTGACTTTGATATGTCGGGGGTACACTGTGCAAGCTGATGCAGGGTCACTGAACTTGAGACATTAACGTTTATGGTCGCGTATAAGCTTTCTGAGGAGATCGCCAAGTCCGTCACATTCCTCGCCAAGTCCGTCACTTCCGCATCAAAGTCCTCATTATTGAAGGTAGCTGAAACATCCGCAGGGTTGACAATGAAAATAACCGGCTCTATCTCCATGATAGAGAAGAACGACCTGTAAGAGTAGCGCACGAGACACTCATCATACCATATGATCGCCTCTTTCTGTCCTGGACATCTTTCTATGATGGTGCTGGTTGCTGTACCGATGCAAGAATGACAGAGATTGGCAGGAACATCCTCTCTAAAGAGGAATAGTAAAGTTGCATCAGTAGTCAGTTAAATCTGCATAGTAATTTGATCACCGTACTTTGTAGAGGATTTCAATTAAGACCAATATATCAGGTCCATTTTAAATCCTAGTCCCGAGTGAGCCGATTCCAGAGACTATAATGATTGAATTGAAAGGTATTACTCCAAAGTTGAAATTTCTGGTATCTTTCGCATGTGATTTACCTGCAGAGGAAGAGACCATAAACTTTGTCTGGATCTTCACCTTCCGTCGTGTTGTAGAAACCGTAAATGGGTCCTTTGTTGTCAAGCCCCCCGGAGAGGAGGCGGTCGAGGTTGTCCTGAAACTTGCTATAAGCAGCGTAGTTGCCCTTATCTGCGCACCTCTCTTGAAGATATGTCTGTGCACTGACAGGAGTGCCTGGGATGAAGAGGATCAGGCATGAAATCCAGAAAGCGAAGGAAACGTTTCTCGGTGCATCGATAATCATCTTTTCTTGAACTTGTAAAGAACTCTAGTACAATAAGAGTAATTCAAAGATGGCCACGGACTTTCTTTCCACTCGAGAGGAGTAAGATTATAAGCAACTTCTGGAGGGCGAGGTAAAGAAATTGATCAAGAGCCGAAGTTTTGCAGCTGCTCTTCCTAATGGCGGGGTTAGCAAAGACGAATTATTTCCACGTTTCGTATTCAACAGAGACGATCCAATTGGCTTCTTTTTCCCAGAAGAAGGACGAACTTTCGTGGCGTGCCCTGCCTAACCCAAAGGCCCGACAATGACTCGACAATGGTTATAAAATGTGGAAATGGTGGGTGATGGCTATGAAACTTTTGACCGCCATCAAGAAACGCCGTAAAATCATCAGCTCATGAATCGTCTTCATCAAGCACCAGCAAGAAACGCCGTAAAATCTTTCCTTCTCAGATCATTCGTCGTTTCTGTCGTCTCGATCTCATTGAAGGCGACGAGGGGTCCCTGTCAGGGTGTGAATACTGAGAACTAATAGAAGTCAAGGCGATAGCAGCAGCGAACTTGACTCCCAGAAAACCGAGCAGCTCCTTTTAAATTCGCCGTCTGGTTTCGCATCGTGGGATCCAATTGGAATGAATTATCGTGCTATAAAGTCCTCAATTATTTTATCCAATCGTTTCCTTTTTTTTCTCTTTTTTTCGACCTTTGAGTTCTTGACTTACTCTTTCAGTCTTCATGGGCCTAACCCCTTGTAAGTCATGAATTCTCATCATGTCAAATGTGATAAGCCCAAATAAAGCCAAGCCCCATTGAAAGATTTACGTACATGTACTTCTATGATGAAGGGACTTTCTCATCATGTCACATGTGGTGAGCCCAAATAAAGTTCGGAGCCTTCAACATTAGATCGAAAGGGAAAAAGTCACAACGAGATTTGTTAAATGACCAAGATTTATCGCATTTCAATTCAATAGTGAAAGTTTATACAAACACCATACCTCTTAGGAACCATTATATCACCTCATATAAATTATGTTTTGCACAATTGATTTTAATTTTAAAAATTGTAACTATATCTATATCAATGACAAGAGAGATGACTTGTTTAATCAACAAATTACATAGCACGTACAGCAAAAATAAATACTAAAATAATGATCCTTTACAAGCTAGACAATCAGTTGATAGTTACGTAACCTTTATATTACACAAGTCACGTTTGTCACTATTCATTTGGTTGTTGCTTGATTTCTAAAATGGTAAACTTTTTGACTACTTATAATTTCTATTTAATAGTTCCAACCACGATACACCCGCACAAGACATTTATTATTTAATTACTAAGGGTTCGAACTATTGTTGTAATTACTTCGAACGATGCACATTACTTGCACAGTATCACGTAGACATCATTCCTTAAACGAGGAGCATGGCTCCCAATTAAAGTTTTTATTGGACCAATTAGCAAGCTTTTGTTTTCAAAATTATTGTGCATATTGCATGGACAACAAAATCACCATCTACCACCACATAAAGCTTAAGAACACGGCCCAATTCCCTAAAAAACCTCAAATTTTAGCTTTTGTCCCAATTATATCCCAAACTTTTTTTTGTCTCATAAAAAACCCCAAACTTTTACTTTTGTCCCAAATCTACCCAGTTAACTTTTCGTCCAATTTTTTAATATTACTTTTTATTTTTTCGAATTTTTTTATTTTTTCTTTTCTTTTCTTTTTCCTTTCCTTTTCTTTTTTTTTTGTTTCACCTTCTGGCCGGTCACCGATCCGACGATTGGCCAGAGGCGGGGGCCGGCGGGGCCGACCTCGCCAATAGACCGGCGGGGCCGAGCCTCGCCGCCCACGACGAGGCTCGGCCCCGCCGGCTATTGGCGAGGTCGGCCTCGCCAGCGGCCGGCGTGGCCAAGTTCTCGCCGAGATCGGCGAGGCTTGGCCCCCGCCAGGCCGGCGAGGTCGGCCTCGCCAAGCAGCTGGCCGAGGTCGGCCGAGGCCGAACCTCGCCGTTCTTGGCGAGGCCGACCTCGCCCGGTGCCGACGGGGGCCGAGCCTCGCCAGATCTAGCGAGAACTCGAGCCATCTTGGCGGCATGGCCCGCGCGCTTCGGCCTCGTCGGCGTGGACTCGGCCGACCTCGCTAGGCGGCCGAGGCCGAGCCTCGCGGCCCGGCCGACCTCGCCGGCCCCGCTTCGGCCGGTCGCCGGACCGGCGACCGGTCAGAAGGTGAAACAAAAAAAAAAGGAAAGGAAAGGAAAAAAAAAAAGAAAAGAAAAAATAAAAAAATTCGAAAAAATAATATTAAAAAATTCGACGAAAAGTTAACTTGGTAGATTTGGGACAAAAGTAAAAGTTTGGGGTTTTTTATGAGATAAAAAAAAATTTAGGATATAATTGGGACAAAGACTAAAGTTGGGGATTTTTTAGGGATTTGGGCCTTAAGAACGTCGTAAATACCACAACTTTTTCAAATTTTTGACCGCCATCTGACTATAGAGTCAACGGAGAATTCAAACTCATCCACTCACGAATCGTCTTCATCACGTGCCGGCAAGAAACGCCGTCAAATCTGTCCTTTTCAGATCATTCGTCGTTTCTATCGTCTCGATCTCATTGAAGTAAAGCACTAGTAAGCACGTGACGAGGTGTCCCTGTCACGTGTAACATTGGTTTTGCATTGTGGGAATTGATTCGACAACAGAAATTTTCTTTTGCCCCAGTTTCCTCGAAAATCTCTTTTTGCTGTGCTTCTCTCTTTTCTTTTTGGGAAAAGCTTAGATGACGGCTCTGTCAGTCTTACAATATTGACGGAGCCTCATCCACCTTTTGTTTTATGCTTGAAATTTGGAAACTTCTTCATCCGGTATGCAATGAATTTGTCCTTTTTGCTTGAGTGATTGTATCTGTAAATTACAGCTACCTCTCGAACTGGTGGCCCGCCGTCCAGGAAATGAAACGTGCGGCCATGGTTGCACCGTTACCAATAAAAAGTAATGGCACGGTTATCCCAGCAATGTCCTTTCTTTTTCCGATCGATGTCATAATCATGTGGACCGCCATGATGTTGCCATGCTGATGAAGTCCTTGACATTTATACCTCCTTCTGAATTCCACCTTTTAAATAGTCTAATTAGGTAATTGTTAGCGCATAGTTATTCAATTTAATAATCTGATTGAACTCAATTATTAAAGTAGTGACAATCAGGGATCCAATTAGAAGGAATTATGGTGCTATAAGGGCCTCAATTAGTTTGACATGTCGTTTCCTTTTTTCTTTTTTCAAACAATGTGCGCTTGACTTACTCTTTCGATTTTCATGGGCCTAGCTCCTTATGAGTGATGGATTCTCATCATGTTACACGTGATGAGCCCGAATAAAGTCCAACCCTACTTAAAGATTTACATACGTGAACTTTTATGCTGAAGGGACTTTCCCATCACGTTACATGTGATGGGCTCATATAAAGTCTGAAGCCTTCAAAATTAGATCGAAAGGTAAAATGTCACAACCAGATTTGTTGAATGACTGATATTTATTGCATTTCAATACAACGTGAAAGATTATACGAACTCGATACCTCCGAGAAACCATTATATCACCTCATATAAATTATGTTTTGCACAATTGATTTTGATTTTAAAACTTGTAACTATACCTATATCAAGGCCAAGAGAGATGACTTGTGTAATCAACAAAACGTATAGCAAAAATAGATACTAAAATAATGAACTTTTACAACATAGACAATAAGCTAATAGCTACGTATCCTTTTGATTGTAGGTCACATTTGTCACTGTTCATTGGGTTGTTGGTTGATTTCTAAAATGGTAAACCTTTTGACTACTTGTAATTTCTATTCAACAGTTTCAACTACGATACTCCCACACACGACTTTTTTATTTATTTTCTAAGGGTTCGAACTATTGTTGTAATTACTTGAAATGATGCACGTTACTTGCACCATGTCACGCAGACATCATTCCTTAAATGAGGAGCAGGGCTCCCAATTAAAGTTATTATTGGGCCAATTAGCAAGCTTTCGTTTTCAAAACTCTTGTGCATATTGCATGGACAACAAAATCACCATCTACCACCACATTAAGGCTTTTTGATATATATATTTATAGGGATTAGAACATCACAAATGACATAACTTTTTCATAGTGCTCATTTGAGTACTATAACTTTTTTCTTGATCACTTGAGTGCTATGACTTTTAAGAAACGGTCACTTGGTGCCATAACTTTCAATTGATCACTTGAGTGCCATTACTTTTTAAAACGTTTTCCATGAGCAATGGAAATCTAAAGTTGCGTCACTTGTGGTGAACATTGTTTAAAAGAGGATGGATTGGTAGTAACTCACTCATTCTATTTTTCCTATTTGTTAAGGAAAACTGAAAAAAGATTAAGGCAACACCAGCATAATTTCACACTCATGGGTTTGATATATTTTGCGAAGAAGGAAAAGCAAAGTTGTTATTAAGATACTTCAATTTCATCATATTTTTCCTTATTCTTTTCTTTATGCTTTTAATAGATGCTTTGGATGGATGGTTCTTTCATAGATTTTCAAATGCTTGCACTATTATGTTAATTCTGACCCAGACGAATTCGGATTTGTTGCTTTACATTTTAATACTACTAGGAACTCATAATCTTGCTTAGTTTTTTTCTTTTTTACTGGGGATCCTTTTGTCACAAATGCCTATTGTAAAGCATGAGGCATTTCAATAAGAAGTATTTTTAGTCCTTTAAGCTATGCATTATGCATAAACGATATCAATGAAGGAAGAATTGGATGACGTAGCCCCTGTACTTTGTGGAAAAGTTGAATAAACGTTTTGGGCTTCTTGATTGCCACAGTTCCCGTTTGAGTTTGACCTCCTATTCAATGCTTGTTAGCATAGCATTCAGCATGGACAATTTGCATTGTTTAGACAAGTATTTCCTAGGAACAAGATTACATTCGTTTGATGTACTGTCTGTTATCGCTCATCAAGAATTTACTGCATGTTAATTTAATCTTTTGATTTAGAGCTGGCTTAATGAGAATCTATTCTATTCATATTTCTATATGCAGATATAAAATGCCGTTGCTGTTGCTAAAATTTTGAATGCTACTCTTATTTTACCAGTATTAAAGCACGATCAGATCTGGAAAGATCAAACGTAAGGCGTCTGGACTTTAATGCCTAGGACAGGGAGTTCATCATTTAGGGGAACACCTTTGCTGCACAACGAGGTTTGCTTCAGGCTTTTCTGATGCCTAGGACAGGGAGTTCATCATTTAGGGGAACTCATTGAATTATTCTATGCATTTTCTCTTACCAACCCTTGAAATTGTATTTACACGAGCACTTTTCTCCAGTCATCAAGTTAGTCTAAGTTACTGTATGTTAGACATCTCAATGGCTTCGCACCAGGCTTCAGCTCTATTAGGAAAATTTTTCCACATAAAACTTCAAATAGTTGATCAGTGGACATGGCTCGACTCCCCCAGCATAGAATTATCTATGTATTTTCTTAGTCATGCATCATTGACCAGTTACGTCAGTAACCAATTGCATATTCTTAGATAAGATGACATCTTGTGAAGAAATTTGGATGACAACAAAGAAGATGGAGTTATGGATGAACTTTTATTTGCTTTAATGGGTATCATGGAACTTCTTGCGTGCTTTTCAATAGATCATTTCATATCCATATAGGAAATTTGAGGATATTTTTTATGTGGATCATTTTAATGATTATCTGAAAGACGATGTTCGGATTGTGCGCGATATCCCCGAGTGTTTTACTGATAAGTCAGAGCTGTTTACAAGCATCAGGTCTGATGAGGATATGTTTTGCTGCTTCCGAATCATTACTGCCAGTTAAACATGTTGGTCACTAATTCAAAGAAGTATTGCATATAGGGGATACAAATTGTTTGTGAAGGTGCATGTCGGTCTCTTTTTTTTCTACGTGTATCGGACATGCACGCACAGACGTGCACATTGCTCATATGGAGACTGCTATAATGGTTGCTTCTAAGTTTTGTTGTAAAAGAGGTTGCTTTTGTTGCAAAGTTGGCAGATGACAGATCATGAATACTGGAAACTATGGCTTTGTTTTTTTCAGTTTAATAAGGAAGTCAATAAAAATGTGGCCGCGCAATATTCCTGTACTGCTACGAATGCATGTGCTGACTCTTTTTATTTAGTCTTACAGTTGTTAAGTACTTGATTAGCGTGGCTTATGATGTGAATAGGGTGATGGTCCATCAGCATGTCCTTGATTTGGATAAGCAGTTTATGAGGAAAAAGTATCATTTGAATTTCCTCTGTTGAAAGCCTCTTAACTGCAATTTCTTTTCCATCCGTCAACGTGCCCTGAAACAGCATAAAGTTAGTAGTGAAATTCCTGTTTGAGGATTACTAATGATAGCCTAATTCAATTCAGTTCATGTTACGGAAAATGACTGCCAGTTTGCTACCATTAGAAGATTTTCCTAATATTCACATAAGTAGGAGTTATAGTCACTAAATTGCTTACCTTGTACATAGGACCAAACCCACCTTCCCCAAGTTTGCAATCATTGGAGAAGTTTCCTGTGGCACATACGACATCCAATCGTATCAGAGAGCATTCATGAGAATCCACCAGTTTTTCTCCTCGGCAGTCTTCCTTTGGTAACTCTTCTCCAATTTCTTGTCTCAGATAAGGTAAAGTTTGAAAAGATGGTAATTCCAGTGGCAAGATGAACTCATTTATACCTTTCTTCAATCTCTTTGTCCTCTTTAAATAAATGCACAAATCCACGATGAATATTTGTAAAGATGACCTAATGACTTTATGGTGATCCGTGGAGCTTTTCTTCGTTGGACCCCTGTTCAAGACAAAGTAATTCCCTGCATCTGATCATACCACATATCTGCAGATCTTTTTTCACAGGGTGTAAATCATACCAGGAACTTGGTGGAAGCAAGGGAGAATTATCATAGTTTAGATCACAAAAGCAAGTCAAGAGCATTAAGATACGCAAAACAGCTTCTAATGAGAATGAGAAGCAACGGAATGATACCATTATACAAATACTATGACAAAGTGAGTGCACATTTTGAGTTTTATATAAGTTATTCCTTCAGTGCCGGAATCAGTGCTGGTTTTGTTAGTTGGAGAAGGTGTTGGTGCTTGTCCTCTAGGTTCCCAAATAAAAAGGATACAGTTTGTACATACATTACAACTCGGCTGAAATACTCTCGCACCTTGCCTTCTGTCGCTAATAAAGGTAGGAAAATGATTGATTGCAGAAACCTAGCAACTCTTACAATATAACTTTGATAAGATTGGTGCGCTCCGCAAGCTCATGCAGTGTCACTGAACTCGAGACATTGACCTTGATGGTCGCATATAAGCTTTCTGAAGAGTTTGCCAAGTCCATCACGTTCCTGAAGGTTTCCACCACAATCTGGAGGAACTTGTTGGGATCTGGTACATTCATAAGGTTGTACAGTTCGAAGTATGGTGTTGACTCCATGATAGAGAAGAACGATCTGTTGGAGTAGAGCACGAGACAATCCTCGTACCATATGATCGCCTTCTTTCTCTCCTGGACATCTTTCTAAGATGTTGCTGGTGGCAGAATCAATGCAAGATTGACAGCCACTGGCGGCAACATTGCCTCTACAGAGGCATAGGAAAGTTGCATTAGGAGTCACATAAATCTGGCTACTAATCCTCCGGTTGGTGTTGGATTGTCGTACTTTTTAGAGGATTTCAACTAAGGCCAATGTATCAGGTCCATCATAAATCCTAGTATCAAGTGAGCCGATTCCAAAGATCATAACGATTGAATTGAAAGACATTACTCAAAAGTTGAAATTTTGGATATCTTTTCCAAGTGATTTACCTGCAGAGGAAGAGATCGTAAACTCTGTCCAGATATTCACCTTCCGTCGTGTTGTAGAATCCGTAAATGGGTCCTTGGTTGTAAAGCCGCCTCTAGAGGAGGCAGTTGACGTTGTACTGGAACTTACTATAATCAGTGCAGTTGCTCCTACCTGAGTACCACGGGTAAAAATATGACTGTGAACTGACATGTGTTCGGGATGAAGAGGATCAGACATGAGATCCAGAAAGCTAAGGGAATTTTTTCCGGGGTGTCTGGCGTTGACATTCATTTTGATCTTTCAAATTTGGAGAGAACTCAAGTACAATAAGAGTAGTTCAAAGACGGCCATGGACTTTCAACTCGATAGGAGTAAGATGGTAAGCAATTTCTGGGGTGAGAGGTAAACAATTCTGTTTAATATCAATTTCTGGTATTGCGTTTGTTGAATTTGCTCAAGAACAAGTTTTCCAGATGCTCCCCCTGATGCCGGGGTCATCAATGACGGATTAGTCCAATTTTCAAGTTCTGTAATCATGAGAGACTACCCAATTGCCTTCTTTTCCCAGAAGAAATGAGGATGAACCTTGCTGGCTTGCGCTACCTAACAAAAAAGCGGGTTGACTGGAAGGCTGACAAAGACTTGGCGGTGGTTATCAGTTAGAATCTGGAGGGCTTGCGCCCGTTCGTCTCCTTCGTTTAAGACCATGATTTGAAACACCATACTTAGGTATTTCTCTTGGGGTCACCCAAGTGCATAGAATGCACGTCTCCGTTAAATTATCCGGTTTGTGTGGGACGGATAACCGCCACATCTGATGTGATTCGCTTGAGAGGAGCAAGATTGGGCATGTCTTTGTCCCAAAAAAAAAGGCCAAAAGGAAACGATAGTACATGTTGATGCAGATGCAGATGCAGATGACGGGACTAAGAAGATTGATCCCATAAGACTCCGCTGCTTCTCATGTCTTGAAGCTCGGAGATATTGATTCTTGCTCTTCGAAAGTCCACGGTCGAGAGCTCTCAATGTCTTTTCGATGTTCTTCTAAGTGTGTGTCATTCGCTTCGAATATCCATCAAGCTCCGTAACTTTTGCTTAAGTTCAATGAGCATATTACAGGTCTGTCATTATCCTAAGGATTATTGTTGGCAAATGATAGTAGAAAACCATTCTCTTCCATATTGTTTTGATGGATACTGAAAGAGAACATATAGAGTAGGATGCTGACTATTTTGACCCTGATATTGTTGCTCCGAAATAGTAACTACTTTGTATGGACGCTACTGAGCAATGGACTTGATTAATGGGTGGGCTTGGCTGGATTTGGTAAGCCCGTTGGGCAGGCTTAGACAGGTCTGGTCAGCAAGTGGGCCTCAGCTGCACAAGGGCATTGAGGCCCAGCCCATTCCGCCCTTATATTTATTGAGAGATATTTACAAAATGTGTTTCATTGAGGGAAACAACCAAATGCATACCACACTATTGAACCAATGACTATTGCTGACACCTAAATTTTGTCTAACCATCTAGAAATTAATTGCATAAAAAAATTAAGGATTAATCTTTAACCCCTAAGCAAAAATATAAAAATTAAATTGCATGCATTTTAATCGGACCGGTGGTAGTGAATGGACCCAAACCAATCACATGGACTATGCTCGCATAGCAAAGAAATTCGGCTAGTGTCGCAACCTACCCTCGGGGTCCTAGGTTCGGCTAATGAATTATTAAGCCTAGAATTAACTCGGACTCTTCTAAACCAATACTAATTCGCAATTTATGGTTCAAGTTCTTAACATACAAATGATTTTCAATTAAGAGTCGCCACTAATTAGTTTATAGTGAGTCGATTAGAAACCAAAATAAAGTATTGGGAGATATACTTTATTCCTATAAACTAGAGATTATGAGTACGGGGACTTGATTACGCTAGATTATTTTAACGCCCTTTGACTACCTTTTTTTTCATGAAAATATTTTAGCAAGCAGCTAGGATTATTTTTATTATCTCCTAATGTGTGAGGTGCTAATGCGGGTATGCAAACGACCAAATGAACACCCAATAATCAAAGTATTAAATGAATTGCAAGATAAGGAGAATGTACATACTTTGAAGCAACGTAAGCATCTGCAATATTATTTACACTTTTACATCATCATCCCTAATATAATTTCTAATTAACAAGCAATTCCACTCAATGTAATTTTTGGGTTTTCTCTTGATTATATGAAAACTAACCTATATGCAATGACGTACAAAGTATGACATGCAATTAAATAAACATAACATGCAAGCTACATGACATGCAATTAAATGACCTAACTCTAATGATGGACATATGATATACTTTTGTATTTTTTTTATTAAAATCCGTAATTAAAAAATCCTGTTATCTAAACATGCCATTTTAAACTAAAGAAAGTAGATTAACGGCAAAAGGACACCAGAAGTGCCATAAGTTGTGTACGGCGGACACTTTGATGTCATAACTTTTTTTTGGAACACTTTGGTGCTAACTTTTTTTAAAAACGATCACTTTAGTGCCAATGCTGATATGGTTTGCCGGAAATCCTACGTGGCGCTGACATGGCTCGCCGGAGAGGTCCAGTCAGCATTAAAAATAAAAAACGACGCCGTTTAGTTCGCTGACGTGTATTTTTTTAGAAAAATAAAATTTAAATTATATTAAAATAATTTAAAAAATAAAAAAAAGGAAAATACCACCAAAAATTCCAAATTATGACACTTGTGATAATTTACCCTGAACTTTTTTTTTTACACGAAAAATCCCAAAT